TCTTGATTTTCATTAGTTCTTTGACCATAACTAAAGACCTTTTTCTATTAAGTTCAGTGTGTGGGCTTCCTCGAGGCCAGTTTCTGTTTCACTGAATAGTCCTTGTTTCTTTGTATGCCTTTTGTTGTTGTTGTTGAAAATTGGGCACTTTACTATTACACTATTGTAATTCTGAATATAACATTGTTTTATCCTCAGTTCTCCAGTTGTTGCTGACAGCTAAAAGCTGTTGTTCATGTTTTTGAGACTTCCAAGCCCTTTTTGCAAAGCCTATTCCTTGTGTGTGATCATTGAAACCTCTGTTCCTATTATCTCATGTTTATCTGATTTTAGAGATGTCTCTGGATGCCTGTTCTCCTTTTTGCAGTTTAGCTGTGTCCTAAGGCATTCCCGCCATACTTAGTTAGGCTTGCTTCTATCCTAGGGATCAGACCAAGATGAGAGCCTAAGGTCTTAAATCTTTTCTGAGACATTTTTGTTTGTGCACACATTTGGCATTCTGCACCCCTTGGGTACAACTGCTTTTGAACATCTGGTTTGTCAAAAATCTCACCCCAGTTTCTCCTCTGGACCTTACATGGCCTGAATCTCGATGCCTGCGATTCTGTAGTCATCTGGCAGCTTTCACAAGCAGTGCCTACCTTTTCTCGCCTGTTTCCAAGTTATGAAAAACAATGATGAACAGCTTGAATCAAACCTTGTAATCCCAAAGACAGATTAGAAAAGGCAGTGATCGGCAAGTAAAGTCTATTCCTCCTCTTCTGGCTTGAGGGAGGGAAATGGAAACCAGGCTTCTCTCATTCTAAGAATAAGCCCACCATTGCACGGGAGGCAAGGGTGGGTAAAAAGTCACATTTTCCTGCCATTTTGAGGATGGGTTTTCTTTACTGGGCTGTGTGTTGGCTGCTGTAAACCTTTGACTGTTTTCCAGAATTCCAACAAAGTTGGTTAATCATATAGTTGCTGCTTTCCACCTTTTCTCCCCAGTGTTTCTGTGGAGGAATCAAAGCTGGAATGTCATAGATCACAATTTTGCTTGTGTCAGTCATATCAATTATGTCTATTTATTCCTATCTGTAATTCTAGTATCCTGACTAGGCTTTGAATATAGTATGTTTCAGATACATGTATGGTGACTGAATTTTAATTAGACTTGGAAATTTTGTGTAAATGTTAAGAAAAGGGTCTCAGTTATCTTCATCTACACTTAAAATTAATGAATAGATATTTTTTCTAATTCCTTGTAATAACCAGTCTTTCCTTTTTTGCTATGGTGTTACTGTTGTTCACTCAGTTGTGTCTGACTCTTTGCAACCCCATGGACTGCCCCACGCCAGGCTTCCCTGTCCATCACCAGCTCCCGAAACTTGCTCAAACTCATGTCCATCGAGTCGGTGATGCCAACCAACCGTCTCATCCTTTGTGACCTCCTTCTCCTCCTGCCCTCAGTATTTGCCAGCATCAGGGTCTTTTCCAGAGTTGGGTCTTTTCCAGTGAGTCAGCTCTTTGCATCAGGTAGCCGAAGTATTGGAGCTTCAGCTTCAGCATTAGTCCTCCAAATGGCTATTCAGGGTGGATTTCCTTTAGGATTGACTGGTTTGATCTCCTTCCTGTCCAAGGAACTCTCAAGTGTATTCTCCAGCACCACAGTTTAAAAGTATCAATCCTTTGGTGCTCAGCCTTCTTTATGGTCTAACTTGCACATCTCTACATGATTACTGGAAAAACCATAGCTTTGACTAGACAGACCTTTGTCAGCAAAGTGATGTCTCTGCTTTTTAATACACTGTCTAGCTTCATCATAGCTTTTCTTCCCAGGAGCAAGTCTTTTAATTTCATGGCTGCAGTCACCATCCACAGTGATATTGGATCCCAAGAAAATAATGTCTGTCACTGTTTCCATTTTTCTCCCATCTATTTGCCATGAAGTGATGGGACCAGATGCCATGATCTTAGTTTTTTGTATGTTGAGTTTTAAGCCAGATTTTTCACTCTCCTCTTTCATCAAGAGGCTTTTTAGTTCTTTGCATTCTGCTGTTAGGGTGGTGTCATCTGCATATCTGAGGTTATTGATATTTCTCCCAGCAATCTTGATTTCAGCTTGAGCTATTTCACATGATGTACTCTGCATATGAGTTAAATAAGCAGAGTGACAATATACAGCCTTGACGTATTCCTTTCCCAATTTGGAACCAGTCCATTGTTCCATGTCTGGTTCTAACTGTTGCTTCTTGACCTGCATACAGCTTTCTCGGGAGTCAGGTAAGGTGGTCTGGTATTCCCATCTCTTTCAGAATTTTGTAGTTTGTTGTGATTCACATAGTCAAAGGCTTTAGTGTAGTCAGTGAAGCAGATGTTTTTCTGGAATTCTCTTGCTTTTTCTATGATCCAACAGATGTTGGCAATTTGATCTATGGTTCCTCTGCCCTTTTCAAATCCAGCTTGAACATCTGGAAGTTCTCAGTTCACATACTGTTGAAGCCTTACTTGGAGAATTTTAAGCATAACTGTGCTAGCGTGTGAGATGAGGGCAGCTGTGCAATAGTTTGAACATTTTTTGGCACTGCCTTTGTTACTGGAATGAAAGCTGACCTTTTCTAGTCCTGTAGCCACTGCTGAGTTTTCCAAATTTGCTGGCATATTGAGTGCAGCATTTTAACAGCATCACCTTTTAGGATTTGAAATAGCTCAGCTGGAATTCCATTCCCTCCACTAGCTTTGTTCATATGAAAAGGCAAAAAGATATGATGTCCACAGAACATTAACTTTTATAAAGCCTTTCTGAAATGAAATGCTCCATACACTCTTAGTACCGAAACATTAAATGGTGTTTATTGGCTCCTGCCAATGTTTTCTGTTTTATAGTAGCATATAGTCTTCTGTCTCCATCATGGCATAGTGCAGAAATGAAATAAAACAAAAATAACATGTCTCATATAAACATTTGACGTTTTCTATAAATGGGCCAATATTAAAATGACTTTCTGGTAACACTCTTTTACATAGTGCAGGTGTTAGTTTTGTTCATTTAACAAGGATGTTATTACTAATATTCACTATGTTTTATTTTAGGATTTTCATAAAGCAAGACTCATAAATTGTTTCTACAAGTGAAAACCAAGTCAGTCATCTAAAATCTCCATTTCAAATCAAGAGGATTTACCGTCTTCTGTTTTTATTAGAACGGAATTTATGGTGGTGTTTAAATGGGTTAGGCTGTGTGGGCACAATGACACTAGTAGATTTAATTGCTTTCTCAAACATTTCTGTAGAATGCATAGGAAACCATCAGGTTTGTGAAAGTTTATTTTACATTCTTTCATGTTCATTGTGTTAAATTTGCAGTACAAGTCAGTGGCAAAACCTTTGCTGTTTGGCTTCTCTTACTAGATTGAAAAGTGGTTGTTATTTACCAATGGCCCAGGTTTAAGTAAAGTTGAGAATTACAGCAGTGAGCTGGCCTTCCCCCTTCATTAGTCTAGGTCACAGGCTATTAACTGTAACAATGTGTAGGATGTCTGTTTCCACATCTTAATCCCAGGCTTCCCTCCTCTTCCTTACATTGTTACTTGGCTTTTCAAGGAGTTTATTCCTTAAAGCAGCCTTTAACAAGTCAAATTGTAGCTGCAGAAAGATTCTGCTTTGAAAGCACATAAGAAAGCATTTTTTAAACATTTTTGATTGAATAAACAATCCTGTCAACCCTGTCACTTGACAGAAGGCAGTTCAGTATGTGAAGACACTAAGGATACATCTTTAGTTTTTTTTTGCTTGTGTCAATTTTTTCATGTGATCATTTTTCCAGTTTCAAAAATGACTACGCAATAGTTGCCATTCTAGGGATTTAATATGTTTTTAGCTGAAACAGTAACTTTTCCTTTAATGCTTAAGACAAGCCTTTCAAAAACAGCTAAATACTAATATTCAGAAATTAAAAATTCTATTGCAATCAAACTTTTCTTTGGACTTTCTTCAGGAACTAATATTGAGGATAATCATAATTTAAAGAAATGTTAAAGTATTTTCATCATTCATGTAAATAAACAGCAGAAAGAAAATCTTTTGGAGTAAAAATTGGTTAACAAATTATTAAAAACAGAAAAGTATGAATGTTCATATATTTTAATTTCACTTACCTTGCATGTTTCCTTCTATCCTGTTAGAACCATTGACTGTTACAAAAAGGCCATACGTTATGTCATACTGTATTAGAATATGCTAATACAGATGTCCTATAACAAAGACCTGGGAAAAACACAAGTGCCTTAGGCAAGACTGATTTTAATTTCTGTCTTGTAAAACAGTCTAAAGATAGGCAGTCCAGATCAGTTTTGCACTTCAACAAAAAACTGTGCAGATACAGTTCTATGTGGTTCTCTTCCACAAAACAGCATTGACTCTGCTGTGGAGTCTAAGATGGCTCACTATGCTATCCACTTCTAAGCAACAGCATTGAATAAAGGAAAACAAAACAAAAATGGTCATACTGTTAAAGGAAATATTATCATTTCCCTCACATTTCACTGCCCTGAACAGTAATACTTGCAAGGGAGACTAGGAAATGTAGTCTTTATTCTGGTGTGCATGTGCCTAGCTAAAAACCAAAGGTGTTATCTGTGTGAACAGGAAAGAATGGCTATCAGGAGAAACTGGTATTCTTTGCATCTATTTTGATATATTTACAAATAACCAGAAATTTAAACTTGACAATCCTTTTACTGGAAATGTGCCAGGATTTGCTAGTTGACAAATACCATCATTCTGGGTTTTCCTCTTAGTTTCCTTCACTCACTCACTAAGAGTGGTGAAGGAGATGGTGAAGGACAGGGAAATTTGCCATGCTGCAGTCCATGGGGTTGCAGAGAGCTGAACTTAACAACACAACTATCTGAGTTTCCAAGGTGTGTTATATTGGTATAAAATCAAAGAAAGGCGATGTAGTTGCCTGACCTGCCAACTAGCTATATAGAAGTAGGTGAAAAAAGAATCTTCCGATGCAATTTTTTTTTAATCTCGACACTGATGTTTATTTGCTGGTGATTATGCCCTGAGGGCCACAGTGAGTGACTAAGGTCAGCAGTTACTCTTCCCGGACTCTAGCACACAAAGGCAACAGCTGATACCCAAGTGTGACTCTAGCCGCGATCCTTTGTCCATGTTGCAATATCCTTATTGAGGAAAAAGGAAAATGTTTTCCCTTAGAATATGGATTAGTCTTGGCAATTCATTTGACTAAGCAACTTTATAGAGTACTAAAACAAAACAGTTCTTTAATACTTATCAAGTAAAAAGTCAGTAATAATTTTGTTACAGCTTCTGAAAAACATGGTGAACTGTAAAGCAGAGAAAAATTTATCAAGCCGTCTGTATAGTTTTCTCTTTTATTAAGGAAGAAAAAAATCTTCATGATTCTGCTGAAAGAACATCTCACACTGCAGAGGTAGTCATGGAATGTCTCAGCTCTCCTTCCACTGATGGATCCTTTCTCAGTCTTTCCATGCAGAAGACTATGTAAAGTCCTGTCACACAGCCTGGTTCAATAGTCATAATCGGTTCACTTGTGCCTGATGCCAAAGTTCTCAATTCTGGGTCCCCATTACATTATATACAAAGTTGTCCTCCATCTAATACATTAAAAACTACCAAAAAAATCTTTATAGAGTGTCAAAGCTACAAAACAGATACATATAAAGTTTTTGGCTGAAATATACACCTCCCAAGTTTCCATTTTCCAGAAAAGGCAGACCCTGCAAGTTATATATTGTGAAAGCCACGTTACAGGTGGCTTTATTTAGATGACCCAAGATGAATCAGTGCCATTACTGTTGTATAGCTGTGAAATAGATCATTATAGTTAAACTCGTTACATTTCTTCAATATAAAGTTCCCAGTGACTATGCGATCACATCCAATTTCTCCATTTCCAAAGAAGCCAAATAAAGGAACACTAGGAAAAAACTTTCTAAATGCATCAGCCTCCACATTCTTCTTGGCTCTGTAATACTGAGAGCCCCTGCCGACACATGCAAACATGAAACCAATGGTGTTCCGCTCTGGAATGTTCGCTGCCTTGAGGCGCTGCATTGCAGCGTCCACAGTCTTCTCGTCATTGACATCCTCGTTGAGAAGCACTGTGGCACCCTGGACCTGGTGTCCGCTAAATGACAGTCCAACCACACCAGTGGCATCAATGTCCAGGGGGCTCCTAGGAAATGAAAGTAGAACAGTGGCGACGTGTCATGAAACACAATTCAGATTTATAGTGTAAAAGAAAAGAAAACACCTCCCAATTCTCACTGGTTGAGAAGTGCTGCCTTAATTTACAGTTAGTCTGAGGTGCTCTCTCCCTGATCAGAGGTAAGGTAGAAAGGGTTAAAAATGAAAACTAGTGAAATTAATACAATAAAGAACGCAGAAGGCAGATCTATGGAGGAGAAAGCAATTATTTTTTCAGTCATAGATACAAAGGGGCAGATGCATCACCACAAAGATTTCTAAGATCCAGCCTGAGCTTTAGAAGAATACAGAGCATCCTTACCTTACCCTCTTCCTTAAAAAGGAATCTTACAACTTTATTCATATATACAATGCTGAAGCTTTTGGTATTATTTACCTCTTCAGTACCTTTTTAATCCCCTACCTCAGCTTGTCAAATTTTAAAAGAGGTGTGTTAAATATTCAATCATGGAGGATAATTTCATTAGAACCCATAATTCCAGAGGTTTTAGCTCTCTTCTATTTGGTCCATAAAGAAACAGGTTACACTGCTGTGTCTTATTTATTGCTTTGGGCCAATAATTTAGTTTAATCTGAAGGGAAAAATCATACATTTTCTTTTTGTTTCTACTTACCTGGCATTTTTTAAAATGAAATATTTTATGGTTACTAAAGAAAATATAAACAGTGTTAATAAAGTTGTAAAGTGTAATATAGTGAATACCCACTGGGGGAAACCAAGTAAGTAGCTTTCTTTATCAGGCTTAGCAACATCTGAGTCTGTGCACAGGCAGCATTCACTGGGTTAGTAAGAAACTAAGACTTAAAAGGCTTAAGCACTAAGTCTCTTAAGGCTAACCAGTGGCAAAACAAGTTTCTAAGGGGCAAAATCCATCTTCTGAAGTCTGCTGCTGCTCCTTTAACTTTATTACATTTCCTCTTCGGTATACAATGGCAACAGGTGTCTCCTGCCTAAAAGAACGAGTCATCTTTTTTTAGAGGGAGAGGGGTTTATATCTGGACACCATTAAAATGAAGCACTGATATACTCAATGGCTTCCCTTACTCAATGACACAGTGTAAAGACCACATTAATGTGTCACGTAAAAGGTAATGACTGCTGGAGGATGTATTTCCCCATATTAGGTATAAAGGGTAGATTATATACAGACAGCATGCTAAACTAACTGGCTAGCATCCCAGATGTTACATGTCTGAATAAGTTGGCATTTCAAAGATAAACTAAGTTAAATCACCATTGCCCTATCTGTATGTAATTTAAAAGTAAAAGACAATAAGGAAGATTAAGCAAGAGGGGAAATAACCCACAGACAGCTACCAAGAATCAGGTATACTTATGCAGGAAATCCAGTGCTTAGAGTTCAGTGCACCTGGCTTTCCTCCCTTCTTCCTCAAGTTCCAGGGAACTCAACTTCGCATCTGCTTTCCCTGACCTGTCGGTGCTGACAACCAGAAGGGAGCTCATGACTGGGATGATTTAAATCGCTCTTAAAGATACTGATCTCTAGCAGCCTGTCTCCATGCCACTGCTTTAGGGTCCAAATACTAAAAATGAATACGCAGAGAAACAGATAAGGAGGTTTGCAGCAAAGATTTGGGGTCAGAGGGAATGTTTCATTTTCTTCCTTTTGAAAACAGCTGGTATTTATGTCCACTCAATTAGCTGAAACTCAAAATACTACATACTTTCATTGGAAATGGGAAAAATAGTAATGGTTCAAGATAGAGGAGCAAATATTTTTATCTTTGAAAACAGACGCCTTAGTAATAAAATCAAAGATATATATCAATTTTGAACTTGAAAAAGCCTTTCAAAAGATCTAGTATAGTATTTCCCAAAATGTGTTCCAAGTAATATTGCTTGTACATGGAATCTGAAAAAATGGTACAAATGAACTGATCTACAGAACAGAAATAGTCATAGATGTAGAAAACAAACAGGGTTATCAAGGGGGAAGCTGGGGAGTATAAACTGGGAGGCTAGGATTTGACATAGACACACTACTATATATAAAATAGATAAGTATATAGCACAGGGAACCCTGTTCAATACTCTAGTGGCCTAAATGGGAAAAGAATCATGAAAGAGTGGATATATGTATAACTGATTCACTTTGCTGCATACCTGAAACTAACACAACATTGTAAATCCAACTATACTCCAATAAAATTTTTTTTAAAAAATCTAATACAATATTTTAAAAAATGTATGCTGAATAATACCGGTAGGCCTGCAACAGGTTTCATGTACAAAAGGTTCTGTGGCCAAATATATTTAAGAACTGCCACAAGTAACAGTATTACCCCTCCCTCTAAAAGATCCAAAGTACTGAGCACAGTACTAGAGGCTCCAAGAAGTTTTACCGCAGAGCTATGCTACTGAACCCCACATTTCCTTTAGAGGAGAACAGAACCAGAGAGGAAGTGATATGCTGCAGTTACAGTGACGGAGCCATCAAGGGAACACAATAAACAATGGTGAAAGTCAATTTTAAGGAAAGTGTAAGTCCAACTAAGAATAAATTCTTAAAAGGATAACATATATAAATTTCGTTCTTCAAAGATAAGCAGAATTACGTTGTATAAGCCCTTCAACCTATGTCTACTGCAAAATGGAATGAACTATTAGCAATCCTTTAAACATGATGTTTTAAAAACCCAAAGTAATGTAAAGCTGAGAACATAACCCATCACATGCAGAAGTCAAAAGCACATCAAACATACTTTTCAGAAGTCAGCGATGCCAGGTTGTCCACCTGGCCTCCAGCCAAGATGACATTCATATCACTGAAAGTGCTGACGACTCGCTGCAGATAATTACTGGCTCCTACCTTACAGCAGTTATAGCCAAATACAAGGACCACACGAAGCTCAGGGTTATCTAAAAGACCTGCAGAAAAACGAAGAGTGACAATTAAAAATGAGAGTCTTTGAAAGAAATTCTTAGAAAGGAATTGTGAATTATTTTTCAAAATGAAGTTATTGCTATCATGTCAATGTATGACAAAAACCACTACGATATTGTAATTAGCCTCCAACTAATAAAAATAAATGAAAAAAAAATGTTATTCCTAATTTCTTATATGCCTAATATGCAACTTAGTGCTTAAGCTGTCAAGTCTTCCATTTTTTTGGCAAGCTCTAACATTACTCAGAACCTTAGCTATAATTAATTTTTAACCATTAAGAAAATTAAATGGCTATTTGAAAATAACATAGTCAACATTCAACACAAATAAAGAAGTAGCTGTGTAACTGAGCAGCACCCTGTGGTGGGCCAGGGTACGAGCCATCTCCACTCAGGCCGCCCGCTGGCATGGAAGGGGACGCTGGTGGACAGAACAGAGTTAGACGCAGGGGGATTTAAGTGTCCGGAGGGTGAGACGGCACGAACCACCTGTAGAGGGTTGGGTGTGATCCCCCCACCACGTTCCCAGGAACGAAGAATGGGACCTAACTTGGGAAAAGGGTCTTTGCAGATGTGATTAAGGATCTTGAGATGCGATCATCGGGATTGTCCAGGTAGGCCCTAAATATTACACAAGTATCCTTACTAGAGAAACAGAGGCAGACAGAAGAGGCAATGTGACCTCAGAAGCAGAGACTGGAATGATGCAACCGTAAGGAATGTCAGTGGCACCAGAAGGAGGGAGAGAAAAGAGATCCCCCCCACCCCCACCCCCGGAGCCACCAGAGGAAGCAGCTCCAACACCCTGACTCCAGCCTTCTGGCCTTCTGTACTGTGACAGAATAAATGGTGCTTTAAGCCACTGAAGTTTGTGGTAATTTGTTACAGCAGCCTTAGGAAACAAAAACACCATTAAAATACAGGCCTTATCCACATATTCCAGGAGAGGGAAGGTGGATTAACCATGGGAAACTCATTTCAAAGCAGGGAAATACTCAATTTTGGAGCACTTCTGGGATGAAAAGCAGCTACCACTAGAGGGCAGCATAGTCTGGTCAGAAGGCAGGCAGGACTCACACATCCTCCACAAGCTCCCAGGCTTTCATATGTGCCTCTGGCACCTTGTTCATAGACTATCAGTTTGAAATCTGACAAACTGGTGGCTCTGGGACAGGAAAAAAACAAAACAAAACACCGGACCCACATTCGAGCATCCCCTGTCTCAGCCACATGACTTCCATCTTCATAGACGTTAAAGGTAAAGGTTGCCTGAAGTAAAGCTCATTCAAGCAAACGGGTGGAGTGGAGGTGAATGACCAGTTCCTAACACGAAGTAATGACTTCTCTAGGGAGACTGCCTCTGGTCCACTTCTAATTCTCTCCACAGCACATAACTGATTTGGAGAGTAAGAAGGATATTAGTAAAAGCCAGTACTTTGAAAGACACCATATACCCCAAACCATTACTAAAGGGATCTTTTTCTTCACACAGACCAGGCCAGCAAATTTGCAGAAAATGTTCCTTTTTTTCCCAGAATGACTATTTAAGAGTCAGAAGAGGCCTGTGGGGTCAACAGTGTAGTCTTATTTTACATATAACGGCTGCTAATCTCAGGAGAGTGACTGGCCCAGGACATCTCAGCCGACTAGACCCTCATCTCTTGACTCTCAGTTTGAAGTTTTAGAAACCTAAAGACTTCTAATCTCTCCCCTTCCTAAGCTCTAGGTTCTCTTACAGTTGCCGACTAGGCACCACCCTCATTCAGCCAATGCATACCCAGCGCTTTCAACATCTTCCCCCAGCGGTCTTGTTCTGTAGCCGACCACACAAACACACACTAATCTAGAGACCAGACTCACTTCCCTCCACCCAACTTAGAGAACAAGTCCGCCGTGGCCCAGGCTGCCAAGGCAGACAGGTCTGCATCACGTACTGGAAGGAAGGTTCAAACGCCAAGCCACTCAACACTGAGAGGCCGAAGATACACGAGCCTGGGAAGATGACCACCCAGCTCACTTTGAGGTAAATCCCAGCACCGCCTTCAGTCCTGCCTCTTGGTGAAACAAGGCGGTCCCCTACTCGGTACAAGTGTCTCAGGACTTTCAACTCCAAGAAAGCAGGCGAGCCGTCTTCCGACTTCTGACGTGTGCTGGGCAGACGACACGCTCCACCAGTGCTCTCAGCGCACTGCTCCTTGACACCCGGCCTGAGACGAAGTCGCAGCAGACCGAGTGCCTGAGGGGCACGTGGGCCAGCCGCTCCTTCGGCAGCCCGCAACACGGTGACCGCACACACAGCTAGGGGCCAGACCTCGCTGGTGTGGATCCTACCACGGTTACTTTAAGGAATCACAGTGTTCATAGAGTGACATGGTATGAAACAGCTTGAAAAACTCCACCTACTTACCATAAGGGCATGTGGATCCACTAGAATTTATCACAGTTCTCAGAAGACCCGGTAGAGTTCTGCCTCTGTCCTGGCCCGGCAAACCAGCGCCCCACCTCTAGCAAACGCTGCCAGTCTGCACCTCACGTACTACCCATGGCCCTGGCAGCACTATGCCCCTCCTACACGTGCGCCTCAACTCAGAATTCCTCCACCGATAGTCTATGTTATCTTTTTTGAAAGCTGCCTTAAATTCATTTTCAAATAAGGCAGAATATAAATTCATTACAGATATGATCAAGCTGGAAGGTTAAAAGGAAAAAACTAAAATCTGGACACCAACACCAGCATCACATTCAGGAAAGTCAACTATGAAGAACTGTTCCAAAGACTGGCTAGCACTGCCTGCAAAAACTAGGTCTGTGTGTTCAGATTTCTTTTTAAAGAAACCTCTCTCTGAAGACAGCTCTTTTATGAACTATTTGAAAGTGATATAATCTAAACACGTGTAGAATATCGACAATTACTTTAAATAGGTACACAACAAGCAGCAAAGATTTATTGTATAGCACAAGGAACTATGCCCTGGTAGGTCAGCTGGTAAAGAATCCGCCTGCGATGCGGGAGGCCTGGGTTTGACCCCTGGGTTGGGAAGATCCCCTGGAGAAGGGAACGGCTGCCCATGGGAGGGACGTGCTGGCATCATGTCAGTGTCAACCATGAATAAGCAACATCAGCTCCTTCCCCTCCTCTTCCAATTTGTGCCAGTCCCTTTTTCTTCAATCACCATTAAATTACCTGATCCCAGATTTCCATCTGTGCTTGAGACCCTTCTCTTGAGCTTCAGATCCACATATTAACTGTCAAATCAATGTTCCCATCTCAGATTCAACGTGTCCAACCCAGAACTGGTAACTGGACTCTTCTAACCTGTGTCCCCAGCCCAGAACTGGCAGCCTGACTCTTCTAACCTCCGTCCCCGCCTATCCGGTCCCTCCGCGTGCCTGCCGTGGCAGAAACCCGGGGGACATCACTGCCCCCATCCTCATTCTCAGCTCCCAACATTCTAATCCCTCACCTCAACCTCCTGATTCCACCTCGAAACTTCTCCGTGAATCCATCCATGTCTCTACAACTCCACTTGCCACAACCACAACAGCCCTGATCTCCCTGCATCCTCTCCTGTGTCCCTCCAAACTGATCACACCACAGCCAGAGGGGCAGTTTCAGAAGACATAGCCGGTTGTGTCACTGTCTGCCTAGAGTCCTGGCTTACCGCGGCCCTTATGTCTGTAAAAATCCTCAGGGTGTCCCTACAAGGCAGAGGCGGCCCCAGCCTGCCTCCTGGCTCACACCACACTCCCCTACCTTCCGTCTCACCATTCTCCAGACTCACTGGAATTCCTTCTACTTCATAAATGAGCCAGTGACTGCACAGCAGTCCTGAAGGTGAGCTGCCAGGCCCTTTCTATTTCCTGTCCTTTGATCTATTTTTGTCAATAACCTGCAAAGAAGGCACAATACTCCTACGATCCACTTCCTGACTCCACATGTGAGGGACCCCTGCCCACTCCAGTTCACTCCTCCTCAGGGCTCTGCCCAAATGTCACTTTCCCAAGACCCCAGGGTGGATTAAGTCCCATGCTTATGTTTCCCAGCACTTCTGTGCGTCTGCTCGGTAACACTCACTCATCGGTGTACTGCATTCAACGTCGGCCTGGCCTGCTGAACCAGAAGCTCCAGGAGGCATCTCCACAGCCCCGCACACGCAGGACTGGCACAGGATCTGCACATGGACAGCTGCCAATGAACCAACACTGGCTTTTATGGAACATGGGTATTTCTGCTTTCACTCCGAATCAAGTGCTGGCCCATCTACACGTGTATATCTATATATTTTTTTCATTCCAGCGACTATTTTTTAACATGGGGTGGATACTATACAGATCTTAGAACAACCTGTGCCTCTTTTGGGCTTCACTTGTGATTCAATCGGTAAGGAATCTGCCTGCAATGCAGGAAACTGGAGTTCGATCCTGGGTGGGGAAGACCCCCTGGAGAAGGAAATGGCAACCCACTCCAGTATTCTTGCCTGGGAAATACCATGGATCAAGGAGCCTGGCAGGTTATAGTCCATGGGGTCACGAGAGTCGGACACAACTTAGCAACCAAACCACCACCACCGTGCTTCTTTTAAAAAACATGCCATTTTGGTAAGTTCTTCAAAAAGAACCTAACCAGGGTGTGTGGCTGTGTGTGTGTGTGTGTGTATATTATATACATGTATATTTATATATATAAATATACATCCCAGTACATATGGGATGCTGGGTACTAGGATGCTGGGTCTGATTATGACACCCTATATACAAGGTCTAGAAGGAATATAATGTCTCATGCGAGGTCCCTGCCCACAGAGACACTGCCCATCTCGCAGGAGGCTGAGGGGGCTTTGTTTATTCACCACAGGCTTTCCACACACCACTTTCTACTCAGAGCAGCCAAGTCAACAACGCAGGGGAAGACAGAACACAGCCCAGGCACCAAATCCGGCCCCCTGCCTTTGCATATAAAGTTTTATTGGAACAAAGCTGATTTTTTGTGTACTGTCTACAGCTGCTTCTGTGCTCCAATGGCAGAGTTGAATAGATGCCTAGACTATATGACTGGCCAAGCCTGAAACAGTCACTATCTGGCCTTTAGAGAAGGTGTGCTGAGCCTGTGGGACACTTCCAGGAACGGGGTGCCTTCCACGGTCACAGAACATGACTGACGGAGCTGCTCCGGGTGTCTGGCTCAGGGGTGCAGGCTGGGACTCTGTGGAGAAGGGATGCCCACACCACAGCCTCCAACTCCTCCCTCCCTGCCCACCTCAAATGCCTCCATCTTCTTGTCCACATACAAGGCAACAGTCCAAACTGAGGTATAGAAAATAGCAATGGGAAAGAACAGAGATTATCATCTCAATCTAGGCAAAGCCTCAGTTTCCAGAAGGTCATGAATAGGATGAAAACAATGCCTTGGAATAAGTCAAAACTGTTGACAGCAAACAGTTCAGGGAAAGGACACCAGTAAAACCACTTCACAGAGCAGAAAAACGTGGGACTCTTTTTTTCCTGTCTGTTTTCTGATTCCTATACTTAGAGCCACAATGCAAGCAAGGTCTAAAACAAATCAAATAACTATTTGATCATAAAACAGATGGTTACTCCCACTCAAGATTTTGAGTCTTTCTTATCAATGGACAAAACTAGGCTTCTAGCTTCAAGCAGTGCTACCAGGAAGACCTCAACCATGGATCCCCAGGCTGCTTTAAAACAGAAGAGAACATGCCCAGCAGGCACCATACTCACTTCTGGACAAAAAAAGAGACAGCACAGAAGAAGAAACCATACGGCCTTCAGCAGAAGCACCAAGTCAAAGGCCAAACAAGTTCCTCTAACAAGTGCACCCCGATCAGTTCACCTGCAGTGGTACGTAAACGGCCTTAACACTGCTTTGCTTGAATAGTTAGTTTAATGCTTACTACATTAAATTAAGCTTTCTCATTAGAGCTTAGAAACTGAGCCAACCCTTTTTATCAACTCTCATGCATGACCTATCCACATCAGCCAAGTTTCCTGCCTGGTATTTCCTAGTAATCCTTTGTCTGATAGACTTTGCTTTAACTTACACTATTTCTAAAACATCAGATTCATCACATTTCTTTCTAATTAGTTGATATTGAACTAACCTGTACCTTCTAGGTTTTTTTTAAACAAATGATTACTATCACAAAAAAGAAATAAAACCTTAAACTTTTCAACTTCAAAAACAAAATAGGACAAAATGATAAGAAAATAAGAGGAAGAAGTCCTTCAAAATTCAGAATTAAATACAAGTGAGTTTATTATCAATGGTGTATTTGTGGAAAATTCATCTCTGGTTCTCTCAGGTTTTAATGTAAGTAAAATGATTTAAAAAGTGGATCTATTCTATCAAAAATATTGCACCAGCCTCTGTTAATCACGAGTTTGAATTATCCATATCTGCAGTAACTTGTACTTGATTCTGACTCTCTCAGGAACAAACAAAATCAATCAACAACATGGGCAATTAGTGGTAAACGTAACAACTTACCTACTTCAGTGAGTTGATGCCTTTCTAGTGTTAATTTCTTTGGATCCTTAATAAAATGAAAGGGCTTTATTTTTATTCCTTCAATTTGAGGAAATAATAGAGCAAAACCAGATTCTCCAATTTCTATTTCCTGAGGTCGATTGCTCCGTGATCCTATTGGTGTCACTAAGAAAAAAGTTAAACCATTTTGTGAACAAATACAACGAAGACAGAAGTTTCACCTCATGTAAGTTACCCAGCCACACCTAGGTAACGACAGCTTAGTCTACTAACATAATCAATAGATCATAGGCCACCAACCCAAGTAAAACAAGTAAAAGTTTCTCAGCTTTCACATTTTTAGGAGTATAAGGTCATGATGCCTACAATTTACTTTCAAACTGTTTAGAAACAAATGTTTTCATAAACACAGGAAAAGCACATGTTTTTCACAGTGGTGATCTAGATGAAGGTATATGGGTATTTATTGTACTATTCTATTACTCTTCCACCTTTTCTATAGATTTGAAGTTTTTCTAAATAAAAAGTTGAGAGGTAGTAATTACAACTTCACAGTAATTCTACTTGAAAAAAAATTTATCACCAATGGCTGTTTTAGAAATAGTCACTAATTGTAGCCTAAGAAAAAGGAATCCAATCAGCTGTCGTGGTGGAAGTGTTGTTGTGACATGTGTGGAACTGGCTCAAAGAAAGCACTCAGCTGCAGGGGAACAAGAATCAACGAGCAGTGTGAGGAGTGGGTCCAAGGAAACACAAGATGACAGGTCCCAAATAAGGGAGTTGGAATGATACTCCCTCCCAACATCAAGATCACCTGGGAACTTAGGGGGAAAGATGTGCAAGGCTCTGAGCATGAGAGGAAGGCTTCAGAATGACTGCTCACCCCTCACTATGGGGTCACGGAGGCAAAAGTGTCGCACAGGAGTGCCTGCCCTCTCTTGTCCCTGACCCCCAACTCATATTTTAGAGTTTCTACTTGGTCATGCTTTGAGGAAGTCAGAGCGGGCAGCATGGAGAGGCCCAACAAAATTATGTAAGAACTCAAAGTTGTTTCTATAGAAGCATTTGATAATAACTAATAATGGATAACTAGATCACTCATTTAAGGAAAAATTAAGAGTTAAAAGAAAATCAGTCACTGCCATCATTTTTTCAATCCAATGAGAAACAAACTTTGTGATGAAGGGGCTGATGTAATAATATAGGAGTAGAAGCTAATTGCAGGAGAGATGAAACAGTCCCCATCAACCATATACTTACCCTTACCTGCCTGTAAACACTTGAAATCTTTTGTACTTCCTTGCACAGGACTTAATATACAATCAAAAGTCTTTCAGTGAAGATTAAAAATGCCAGTTATGGAGTACTACTGAGTGCAACAAAGTAAAGGATCAGAGCTAATGTTTACTCACTGCTTACTGTGTATGTATTCTAAACACTGCACGTGTGCAATTCTCTGACTCCTCAAACTCTCCGAGAAAGGTACTGTCAATCACCCCCATGTCAGTCAGGGGGAAAATGAAGCTCCATGAGGTCAGCGAACTCGCTCAAAGTCATGCAGACACTAGAGTGGTACACTAGAGTGGGCTTTCCACCCAGGGATCGGAACCACTGCACCATGATGGCCTCAACAGGCTCTCACTCCCCCACTAGCTAGAGAACAGAGTCAAAAATAATTACAGCAGCAAAAATTCACCAGGAGCAAACCTAGAAAGAGAAAACTTCATGCTATAACCTTCAAATAGTGGCAGCCAAGGAGAGAAAGAGAAGTATCTGAGGAAGGTCGAAGGCAGCTCCTGTTCCAGGCCAACCTCACCTCCACCCACCGGAAACAGTTCTGGCTGAAGTACCAGAAGTGAGAATTCTCACTAATAGTTTCTAATTTGTAGAGAGGAGGAATGAGGTCTTTGTCTTCCTCTGAATGGCTACTGGAAAGATATGGATTATTAATACATGTGGCTTATATGGACAACCCTGAGATTTGAAATATTAACCACAATAACCTAAGGAACATGAATGTAAGTCAAATATAACTTGAAGGTATATAATACCAACTTTACTGTACTTTGGATGGCCAAAAACATAAATCTGCTTTAAGCTACAAATAACCCACCGATTCATAGGACCCCATATGAATGAAAGGCAGGAAATCAAGTTGGTATTCTCTCACCTACAATTCCTGGGGTCACAATCCCAAGGACTTGGCATTGTTTTGGGAAGAGCTTCTCAAGGGCAAATGCTGCTTCCATAGTAGTTCTTTTCCTGGCTGCAGTAATATAGAAGAAGATTATCCAGGTCATCCATTTAAGGTCAAATTTGATGAGGAAAATAAAAGCAAACATTAAATAAAGTTTAAGTCACTTTACACTAGAACACATTACACGGACATCTAAAAGCTTTGATTGAAAACAAAAGTAGTATTTTGTTGTTGTTATAAGTCCCTGTTTTACATGTTAAATTCTAAATTTGACCTTCAGCATTGCCAGTTTGTCGCTTTTCCACTTGTTCACACACTGCTTTTGCCTCAATGACATCAGCAGTAGGAGCTGAATTTCAGATTTATTTTTTTAAATTTTATTCTTTCTGTTAAGCTGATACGAAATCATGACTTTTCTATAGCACAGTCATCTGGAATCAAGTCACACAATGATAATCCACTAAGTCTTAACTCTGGGGGCCAGTGTGCCCATCATGGGACATGGTCTGCTTCTTCACTTAGCAAGCCAAGAAGAATGCACGGTACTGACAGAGAACTTTGGTAAATAGTCATCCAACACAATAAAAGGCTTGAATAGCCAAAGACAAACATTCTGTTTTAATAGTAAAAAACAAATGCCTGCACATCCAAGTATTTCAAAATGAGAAAACACCTTTCCAAAGAACTTGTGTCAATTCTACCTCAGGTTTACAATCTCTGGATAGAATCTCTGAATCTTTAGATTGCAAGGTTCGCAATCTCTGAAGCAAACGGTTCCTCAAAAGTTCAAAGACACTATATTCAGGCATTCTTGAGGGAGCAGGCCCACAGCCTCAGAAAGTCAGTAACTCTCAGGATGAAAACAGCACTTATCTCCAAACAGAGGTACCTAAGGAAACAAAAGAATCCAAAACTTTTTCTTTTGATACTCACCTCTCTTATGGCCACGACACTCCTCCAGATTAATGAAATTTTCTGAATCAGCCATGTAAAGAACTGTCTGTGGTAATATATGGACATTCTGCAAAGAAAAAAGAAAAAAAAAACAGAATTTGATCACACAAACCTATAAATGCTTTTGTGGAGCTTTAAAGTTCTACCCTGACCCGAACTGCTGTGGCCCTACCTTTCTTCAGGTGTTCTGAGTCCATTTACTCATTCATTTTTCACTTATGCTCTTTCATTTTCAGTTCATTCATTTGTTGAACATATATTATTTTTTCAGGTCACATTCATTCCAGCCTGACTGAAGAAGTTCATTTTCACAATAATTTAAGCTCTTAGACAAAAACATTACATACCAGCAAAAGATTCCACTGGCTTTATGTGAAAAGGTATCACAGCAACAGAAACATCTCAGCAACAGAGGAAAGGTATATAGACTTGTATTACTCCTCTTTTCTTTGCCAAATTAAACAATCCAGGCCTTCATTTCTGGCTTGCTAACTAGTTTCCTACAGGAATCTATCACTCACCATTATCTGGACAAGCTCACTTCTGTATTTATTCTTCTGCAGCTTTCTTCCTTTTGCTGAAGATTGTTTCTCCTAAGAAAGAGTTAAGTGCCGCACTCTTCATAAAACCTTTTCCTAGACTTCCTAAGGACCTATGACCTCATATATGACACCCCTGACATCCCAGTCATTCTTACTTGTGCCTTACCTCTTAACAAGGGACAGGTGTAAGCCCTTAACCTTGGCTTATTCAGACACAGGTTTTCCACCAAAATATATATAACAGACAAGTGGCAAAGCAGCTCAATTAAATGAAAAAGGTGTATATAGTTTTCCTCCTAAGCTGGTTACTTTCAAAGATTTTTACTATCAAAATGGAAGGAAGAAGATAGCATTCAGCAAAGCCTCAATAGGAGTTAAATGAAAAAGAAATGGTAATCTGGGAAAGTTAAGTTGTTATGGAGTAGATTCCATATAGACAAACTCATGAAAGATACTGAGACAATGATGACCCTGTAGTGGCCTCAGGGCTGGATAATAAACTATGGATATAGTTTCCATGGTCCACAAGGCATCTTCAAGGAATATAGTTTAGGGAGGAGGGGGCAAGATAACAGTAATAAGACCTTCAGCCCACATCCTACTGCAAACACTCCAAATTTACAATTATTTACAGAGAAACTGCTGATGGGAACAACCTTAAGACTAATGGAAAAAAATTTCCACCACTGAAGACATACAGCAGGAATCACCATGAGAAGGCAGAAGGGGGAAAGTGGAGATACAGTATAGCGTAGACCGCACCCTGAACAGGCAACCTAGAAATGTGAGGCTAATCACAACTGCAGAGGCTGTCCCCATGGAGTAAGGGATCTGAGCCCCACACTGGACCCCCAGCCCATCGGTCATACAACCAGGAAGATGAGGCGCCAGAACATCTGGCTTTGAAGGCCAGGAGGGCTTGTGTACAGAAGAGCCAGAGGGCTGGAGGAAACAGAGACTCTATTCACAAAGGGTGCACACAAAATCCCATATGCTCTGAGTCCAAACTCAGAGGCAGTAATTTGAAAGGAGCCTTGGTCAGATCTTGGAGAGCCTCCTGGAAAAGCAAGAGGCAACTGGGACCCCCCCTCTAGGGACAGAGATGCCAGCAGCAGCCATTCTGGGGAGCTTGTTCTACCAGGAGGACCCTGATGCCGCTAGCACCTCTGTGGAGTCCTTCCTCTAGCCTATTAGTGCCATGTGCTTACCTACCTACCAGCCCTGGTCCTCCCTCGGCCACAAAGCCAACTTCACTGGACCCCAACCCCACCCGCCAGCAGCTGGCAGCCTCCACATGAGCTCCTGGCAGCCAGCGGGGCTTGGGGGCCAGCCCTGCCTACCAGGACACCCACAGCAGTCAGCTCTGCCACAAGAGACAAGCTCTCGCAACCCACATTAGGGGTACTCCTACAGGACACGGCTCTGGTGATCAGAGAGAACTGTGCTCCTGGGCCCCCTAGGACATCTCCTGCTTCTCCAAGATCAGGAAGCATAACTGACCTACCTGATATAAAGAAATAAAAACAGAAAATCAGGAAAAATGACAGAGGAGTATGTTCCAGACGAAGGAACAAAATAAAATCCCAGAGGGAGAACTAAGTGAAATGAGATAAGCAATCTACCTGATGGAGTTCGAGGTAATGATCGTAAAGATGCTCAAAGAACTCAGGAAAAGAATGAACACAGTGAGAAGCTTAACAGTGAGTTATAAAGAACCAGATCTGAGAAATACAGTAGCTGAGATAAATTTAGCTACACTAGAAGGACTCAACAGTTGATTAGACAATACAGAGAAATGGATGAGTGAAGTAAGAGAGTAGGAGAAACAACTCAAGCTGAAAAGAAAAAGAAAAAAATCTTAAATGACAGTAGTTTAAAAAATCTCTGGGATAACATCAAGAGTACTAACATTCATATTATAGGAATCCCAGAAGTTGAGGAGAAGGTGACAAGAGAAGTTACTAGAAGAATAACAGCTAAAAACTTCCTTAACCTGGGAAAGGAATATCCAGATCCGGAAAGCACAGATCCCAAACAAGAAGAACTCAAAGAAGTCCATACCAAGGCACACTATAATTCAAATGGCAAAACTGAAAGATAAAGCAAGACTCTTAAAAGCAGCAAGAGAAAAACAACTAGTTATGTACAAGGGAACTCCCATAACATGGTCAGTTGACTTTTCAGCAAAAATTTTGCAGGGCAGAAGGAAGCAGCAAAATATGTTCAATGTGATGAAAGGAAAAAACCCACAATCAGGAATAGTCTATTCGGCAAGGCTATCATCCAGATCTGAAAGAGCAATGAAGAGTTTCACAGACAAGCAAAACCTGAGTTTAGCACCTCTAAGTAGACTTTACAAGAAATATTTAAGAAACTTCTCTAAACAGAAAAGAAAAACACCTCACCTGGAAACAAAAATCTAGGAGGAAGGTTAAAAGACAAAAGTATAGTAAAATCATCAGTATCCACAAAAAGTTGTTAAGGGATACAGAAACCAAAAAAAGGGAAAATATGATGTCAAAAACAATAAAGGGTGGGGGTGGATGCAGGTTTGTTTGAATGTGTTCAAACTTAAGAATCGCCACCTTAAAATAATCACACACACACAGAGAACAAAGGAATCCAAACTTAACACTAAAGATAGTCATGAAATCACAAGGGAAGCAAGCAAAAGAAGAAAAAAAGAATTACAAAAACAATCAGAAAACAGTAAACAGGAACAAGTACATACTTAATCTATTATTACTTTCAATGTAAATGAACTAAATGCTCCAATCAAAAGACACAGACTGGTCAAATGGGTAAAAAAATTAAGACCCATATATATGCTGTCTACAAGAAACTCACTTCAGATCTAAAGACACACACAGAAAGTAAGGGGATGGAAAAAAAAGTGTTCCATGGAAATGGATATGAAAAGCAAGATAGGTAGCACTACTTTGATAAAGATTTTCACCCAACAAGATATGACAGTGGTAAATATATATGCACCCAAAAAGAGAACACCTAAATACATAAAGAAAACAGAAACAAAGGGAGAAAGTGCCAGTAACACAGTAATAGTGGGGAACTTTAACACCCCACTTATATCAATTAACAGATTATCCAGAGAGAAAATCAACAGCAAACACTGGCCTTGAACAATACATTAGGACACACAGACTCAATAGATATAACATATAGAATATTCCATCCAAAAGCAGCAGAATAAACATTATTTTCAAGGGTACATGGAACTTTCTCAAGGATGGATAAAATGCTAGGCCACAGAACAAGTCTCAATAAATTTAAGAAGTCAGAAATCATATCAAGAATCTTTTCTGACCACAACACTATGAGCCTAGAAATTAACCGCAAAAAAACAAAACAAAGCACTGGTAGGCCAAACCATATGCAACGAAGTAACCAATGGGCAACAGAAGAAATAAAAAACCTGGTGACAAAAGAAAATGTAAACACAACCCCAAACCTGTGGAATGCAGCAAAAATGGTTCTAAGAGATAAGTGTATAGCAATGCAAGCCTACCTCAGAATACAAGAAAAATCACAATTTAAAAACCTAATCTGACTCCTAAATGAACCAGAAAAAGAACACAAAAAACCGAAAGTTAGTAGGAGAAATCATTAAGCTCAGAGCAGAAATAAATGAAATAAAGACAGTAAAACAATAAAAAACAGTCAAAGAAACTAAGAGCTGGTTCTGTGAAAACATAAAACTTACAAAACCTTCAGCCAGACTCATGGAGCAAAAGAGCCCAAATCAATAAAACAAAATTAACAAGGAGATATTACAACTGATACAAGAGAGATACAAAAGATTCAAAGAGATTACCATGAACAATTATACACCAACAAGATAAACACCTAGAAGAAAGGGATAAACTTCTAACAACATATAATCTCCCAAGAGTGAATCAGAAAGAAACAGAAAATATGAACAAACCAATTACTGACAATGAAACTGAACCAGTAATTTTAACAGACAAAAGACAAACAGACAAAAGTTCAGGACCATAAAGCTTCACGGGTGAATTCTATATCAATCATTTAGAGTTAACACATATCCTACACAAATTATTCCCTAAAAATGAAGAGGAAGAACTGCTTCCAAACTCATTCTTATGACATGTACTCTGTACCAAAACCAGATAAAGATACCACAAAAAAGGAAAATTACAAGCCAATATCTCTGATGAACAAAGATTCAAAACTCCTTTAAAAAAAATCAGCACATCAAATTCAATAATACTTTAAAAGAGTCATGCATATGATCAAGTGGAATTTATCCCAGGGATGCAAGGATAGTTCAATATATGCAAATCAGTCCATGTAATACACCACATTAACAAAATGAAGAATAAATACCTGATCATCTCAATAAATGAGGAAAAAGTTTTGACAATATTCAGTATCAACTTATGAAAATAACTGTACAAACTGGAGATAGAGAGAAAACACATCTACATAATAAAGACCATATAGGACAAAAATCACAGCTAAAATCATACTCAATAGTGCAAAGCTG